CTCTATTCTTCCCTCATTCGTGAACAAAACCCAAAGATACTTAAACTCCTCCACTTGGGGCAGGACCTCCTCCCTGACCCGGAGACGACATGCTACCATTTTCCAGCTCAAGACCATGGTCTTGAACTTGGAGGCACTGATCCTCATCCTGGCCCTTCACACTCGGCTGAGAACCAATCCAGTGAGTTCTGGAGATCATGATCTGATGAAGCCAATAGAACCACATCATCCGCAAAAAGCAGAGATGTGATCCTAAGGTCCCCAAAAAGGATCCCCTCAACACCTTGGCTGCTCCTAGAAATTCCGTCCATAAAAGGTTTGAACAGAATTGGTGACAAAGGGCAGCCTTGGCGGAGTCCAACTCTCACCAGAAACGGGTCCGACTTACTACCGGCAATGTGGACCAGACTCTGACACTAGTCATACAGGTACCTAACAGCCCGTATCAATGGGCCTGGTACCCCATACTCCCAGAGTACCCCCCACAGGAGTCCCCGAGGGACACGGTCGAACGCCTTCTCCAAGTCCACAAAACACATGTAGACTGGTTGGGCGAACTCCCATGCACCCTCCAGGACCCTGCAGGTGTAGAGCTGTCTTTCTGCTTATTCTAATGATTCTTTTCTTTAAATATTTCACTAAGATCGAAAGTTCAGCTGAWATTTCACACARTTTCATGTTTTTCAGCAATATTATTAAAGTCCTTCAGCTCATTTTACATTTTTTTCTGTTTTATCCTGATCTCTTTCAGTGGAGAGTTAGCGAGAGCACTTTTTCTACAGTTCTTCATGAAATTTAGTCTTTCAAAAACCTAATCAGCATTTTACATTTTAATTATGATGTCAACATTTTCCAATATGTTTTGCTTTGTACTGTTAGTAACCCTTTTCTCATAATCTAGTATTTTACAAAAATACTGATTCACCAGCGAACAAGGAAGAAAGAAGAGGTTAAAGATAACGGATGGATGATTTAGCATTCACGTAATCCCAGGATCAAGACGGAGCGAAATAACGGTCCAGGAAATAACACATCACACACTGTAACTTAATGGTAATTGTGTTTTCATCCTAAAACCAGAACAACAAGCAGATGTTTGAACATAGTGATTTAAAATGTTTTCAAACTATGGGCACATTGCTTTCAAAAATACACATTTTATTAATATTACAGTAAATACTGAATTTTAAAATATTTTTTACACATAATTCTGATATATTRACTTATACACATATTTTGTTTGTGTTCATGTAAATTTTCTGTAGAAAAAACACAATCTTTTGCTAATATTCATATTTACACGTGAATATARGTTTATTTAAAAGTTAGAGATGAGCAAACATGACTTGTAAACAAAAATCAAGTTATAAAATAATAAACAATTCATTCAAATAAAAATAAAACCATCTGGTTAAGAAAGATCAGAAGTTTCTTTAAAAAAACAAGTTTCTTATCTACAGTCACAGGTTGCAATAAATAAACAGCGTTCAACTTTCACAACAAATTGTGGCCATGGAAAAAAGAGCAAAAATTAAAAACTCACCCTGAATGAGTAAGAAGAAGACGACGAGCTGCAGATTCATCTCCATTTCTGACACTTCAACYTTCTTCCTCATCACAACTTTTTATTCGTACAGTTAGAGGGAACTTCCGTGACATCACAGCGCTGTGGTTTCCCCAGACTTTCAGATTCTGCAGGCTCTCATGAGAAACCCACCATAAAAGTACAAGCCAGAGGTTCAGAGTATACAGTATTTATTTCACTTTTTGTTAAATTACAAAATGGCCAATAAATACAGAACAATGTTTTTATGTGTAAACTCATGGTGGACCACTTTATACTTTTAAATTGACTTTTATTGTGGCCACCACAAACTGAAACAAAATAAAATGTTTGTGTGTGTGTGTTGTAATTGTTTTTGCTACTTGGTGGGGACAATTTTTCAGGAAAATGCAGCCTTGTGGGGACCAAAGCCTGGTCCCGACAACTTCGGAGGCTGATTTTGGGTGGGGGGTTGGGTTTAGGACCAAGATGTGATTTGAGTTTAGGTTAGTTTTAGGGTCAGGAAGGTACCTGTGAGGTTAAAATTAGGGTAAATGGCCAAGGTTAGGATTTAAAATTTCCAAAAAATGAATGGAAATTAATGGAAAGTCCCCACAAGGATAGAGAGACATAGTAGGTGTGTGTGCATT